AGATCCAGTTCCAGTTCCACTAACTGGAAAATATATTTGAGTCAGGTTTCTTTTACTTAATGACTAGTCAAATTTAGCTTTGTTGTAGGTCTTCTGCTGGTCAACACTGTTTCTGAAACATTAGTTAAATGATGGTTTAGAGAGACAGGAACATTTTAAATCTTAGTTGGTCAAAGTAAAATTGTCAGCTCAATGTGTCCCAAACAATTTTCTTATGATTCTAATGAGAAGCAAAAAAAGCCTTTCTAAAATCAGAGAGAGTTCCAAGATCACTAGTGAATTAAAAAACATGTCCTGGATGCCATAAAAAAGGGAATATACCATCAAAAAGTAATACTAAAAATAGTGATAGTTAACATTCATTGAATGTTATAAGCACCAGGTACCATATTAAGTGTTTTATATGTACTAGCTCACTGGATCCTTACAAAAATCTTTGAGCTAAGTACTGATATTTCCCCCATTTTACAGACGAAAAGACTAAGACTGGAGTGGCTAAGAATCATTTTCAAACCCAAGACATCAAAGATTCAAGCCTTTACAGTTGCTATTCTATTCTATACTGCTTTAAATAGAACTCTTTACCTTCATTTCTCTAACAAATATTTATTGTCCTATGTGTTATTAATGGCATGATTTAAGATCTTTTACCCAAGGTCAGGAAAGAAGAATATAAAATAGACTAGATTCTTATTTCGAATGAAAAGTTGTGATATGACAACACAACCATGCAGAGAGGGAAGGGTAATTGTTTATTTTCTGAAGATTTTTCCTTTATGGTATGAAAAAAAATCTTCCTTACTAATCAGTCTTTTCCAAGGCTATGCATATGTTTCAATGACAGTACATTGCAGTTTGGTTCTAGTGAAATTCTTCTGAATCAGACTGGATAACTGGTTATTAGTGGCAGCAATTTTTAGGTTAATTTTTAGCAATATATGAGCTTTTCTTCCCTCACCATGATACAGTCACTATTCAATAAAGCAAACCTCATCTCTACTCAAAAATCAATTCATTGCTTCATGACGTTATTATCATCTAAGGTCAAGCCAAGGAATGCTGTATCCCATCTGTGGGTCAGGCCCTTGGCATCTGCTCATTACTAAACAGAAGTTCTCTTTATTGACTATTTACATCATGTTGCCAAAGAAAGCCTTTATGGTGGTGGAGTCGAAATCAACTGCTCACTGTAAAACCCTAATACCATGGGCAAGAAAACCTTCAAAAGATAATTTTTAAAAATATAGGGATTTCTTAGCAGTCCAGTGGTTGAGACTCTAGGCTCTCAATGCAGAGGGCATGGGTTAGATCCCTGGTTGGGAAACCCTGCATGCTGAACTGGCAAAGTGGATCACAAATGGAATTCATATTTTAAAGTGTCTATTTTTCTTTTAAAATGAACAAAAAATAAGATTTCAGGCAAAGGAATTATAGTAGCCATTTCTAACTGCTTTCCATATGGTGAGATACAAATAAAGATACTAAAATTGGCTAGTGATTAATTTGGTTCTATTGTTTTAAAGGGAAAGCTAAAATGATAAAGAAACATAAGGAAATTTAAACTTAGTTACAGGACACAATTCTGTTTTTATTTCATAAGAGAACAAAATTTATCTTATTGAGAAAAATAAATGTTTTCCATAGGAATACTTCTATTAGGCCCACAGACCAACTCTAAACTGTTATTAGCAGTGTTGTTTAAAGAAAGTTGGTGAAGTTAAATAGATTATGAAGTATCTTTACAAAGGAATACTATTTAGTGATTTAATAGAGTGAGTGTTTAGGTTCTAGTCTGGAACAGTCTCTGAGACACAAAGTAAGTGAAAAAGCAAAATGCAGAACTATGTGTACAATATGGTGTCATCTGAATTTTTAAAAAGAGAGAGAAGGAAATATACACACTCACATAGGCTTGCACATACACAGAACAACAGTAAGGATGTAAGTGAAACTACTAACAGATTCAGTTTGTACTATTTATCTCTTTCATCAAATACTTATATGATCTATTTAAGAATTAAAACTTATGCTAAACCATCCTAGAAAAGAATATAAAAAAGTATATATATATAAAACTGAATCACTTTCCTATAGAGCAGAAGTTAACACAATACACAATAATATTTCAACGAATATTGATTAAAAATGAATTAGAATTCAATACAACTAAAAATAATAGTCACCCTAAAAGTTCTTTGTGAAGATTTAAGAATACAGAGGTAAAATTAGAACTGCTGACAGAAGTACTTTTCATAAATATAAAGCAAATAGCATCCCTATGATTTTAAAAATCATGTTTACCAAGAGGAAATCTTGATAAATTTAAAAAGTAAAAATCAGCAACTATAAATCACAGTAAAGGCTTTGGTATATACAACTAGAGCAACCACAGGTGGGTGAATTTGTTCCCTTCAATTGTATCATATCTCTAAACACCGCACTTAAGGACCTCCCTGGCGGCCCAGTGGTTGAGAATCTGCCTGCCAGTGCAGGGGATGCCAGCTGGACCCCTAGCTGGGGAGCTAAGATCCCACACACTGTGGAGCAACTAAGCCCACGCACCACAACTAGAGAGGCCCTGCACCAAGGAAAGATCCCCAGTGCCACGGCTATGACCCAGGCTGTGGCTGTCCTTAGTCACTCAGTTGTATCCGACTCTTTGCCACCCCATCGACTGCAGCCTGCCAGGCTCCTCTGTCCATGGAATTCTCTAGGCAAGAAGAATACTGGAGTGGACTGCCATGGCCACCTCCAAGGGATTTTCCCAACCCAGGGATCGAACTGAGGTCTCCCACATTGCAGGTTATTCTTTACCGTCTGAGCTACCAGGGAAGCCCAAGGCAGCAAACAACAAAACCAAACCAAAAATTATGCTAAGAGGAAAGAAACTAACCTTTACAAAGCACCTATCATATGGGAAGCATTTTACATCTCACTGAATCCTGATAACAACCTAAAAGTTTGAAATCATTATCAAACTTCATAATAGGCTTGGGAAAAATAAGTAATTTTCCTAAAGAAATGTTGATACATAGAGACAGGACATAAGCCAAGACAGTCTGGCTGCAAACCCTGTGTTGCTTCCATTATACCATGCTGGTTTTATTGTATAAAGTAGAACTGCAAGAGAGAAAGAGACTAGGATTTAGAATATAGGGTCCTATTAGCAAGGAAATGTGCTTCTTACAATAAATGGCTTAGAAACAGCCATTTCCCAAAGGACTCTCATTCCCAAGTTACTTACTGTCGGTGATACCACATTTTGTCACGTCTCAGGAACTTTGGAATCATCTCTGATTTGTTCTCTCTTATTATCCTTATAGCCAATCTGTCTCTAAATTATTTTCTCCCTTTGATATTGTCTTTCATATTTGTCGGTCTGTACATTTTTACTACTATGAAGAATTTTTTTAGCCTCCCTGGTTTTAATTTTTTCACCTCCAAAGCATCCTTATTAAATTTCCTCAAATACTACTTTCATCATATCAACTTCTACATAAGACTCTATGCTGGATCTCTTTGCCTATCTCAGCAAATACAAATTCCTCTCACAAGCATCTTAATAAACTAGCTCCTGTTTACCAAGTCAATTTTATCTCCCATTTCTCTTCCACACCCACTCTCAACAGGTCATGCTGTTTATTATTTTTTTGCATACTTCTGCATCTTTGCTTTGCTGAAATCCTCCTCCAGATTCTATTCATTATTTACAGTCCATCTAAATATCACCATCTCTAAGAAACTGTCCCTAATAACCTCAAAACTTACTACAGTCAGTACCACAACTTTGACTTAAATATTAACTTGAAATGCTGCCTAATTGTCTGATTATGTTGCTTTTCTGCTAAAATCCTCTGATAGCTCCTGTCATTTTAAGATTAAAGCCCAATCTCCTTTTAGTGGCCATACCCAGGCCTCAATCTGGCTTATCTAAGACCGTGCCTCATCTTGTATCCAGCACTAGCTACATTGAGTTAGCCTCTGTTCCCTTGGTTTTTTTCCTTAACATCTCCATGTCTGCATTCTCTCTGCTGAGAATTTCTTTTCTTGAAAAGTATTATCATCTTCTCTAAGAAGCCACATCCTTACGGAAAACAGCCGTCCTTCCTCTGTATTTCCATGTCCCTTTGTAATACCTCTAGTATAGCACTTATTGCATATATTATAACTCCTAGTTTAAATTTCTTTCTCCCTTATTAATATGTGAACTCTTTGAGGAAAAAGTATATTTATTTTTGTTCCTCTAGATACTCATTGTACTATGTACATTGAGCAGGCATTCACATGATTGTGGAATAAAAAGCAGATGCTCAATAGTACAAACTTCAGTTCAGTTGCTCAGTCACGTCCAGCTCTTTGCGACCCTATGGACTGCAGCACACCAGGCTTCCCTGTCCATCACCAACTCCTGGAGCTTGCTCAAACTCATGTCCATCGAGTTGGTGACGCCAGCATTTTAATAGATATTGTATCTTTAAATCTTCCTAACAGTCCTGTGAGATACATATCACTATACCTATTTGACAAATAAGGAAAATGTCTAAGAAATTAAGCCAATAGCTCCAGGTCCCAAAGCCAGTAGTGGCATTTCAAACACTAAAATTTAGATCTTCTGATTTTAGTCTAGCATTCTTTCTAGTTGACTGGGTTGCCCTCCTAAACACTCAGTTAACTGCCTGAACCCTGAGGAACTGCACATTTTTTCTTCTCCTGTGTCTCTTATCATCTGTCTATCTTGTGTGTGTGTTAGTCACTCAGTCGTGTCCAACTCTTTGGAACCCCATAGACTGTAACCCACTAGATTCCTCTGTCCATGGATTTTTCCGGGCAATAGTGGAGTGGGTTGCCATTTCCTTTTCCAGGGGCTATCTTCCCCATCCAAGGATAGAACCTGGGTCTCCTGCAGTACAGGCAGATTCTTTACCATCTGAGCCACCAGGGGAGCCCATCTATCTTAAATAATACTAATTTGTGTTCCTGTCTCAACTCCTTGTTAGACTGTAGACTCCATGTTGGTTAAGAAGGATTACTTGCCTTCGTACCGCCTGCTCTGCTTGCCACAGTGGCTTACTACAGTAGGTGCTCATCAATTGGACTGAATAGGTACCTGGAGAGCACTAGAATGGTCATTTTGACAGGCCAGTTCTTGCTCAACCTCTGAAACCTCCAGCAGATTCCGCTCACTGACCAGCCGAGACAGTTCTCCAACCACTGTCACGTGCTTCGACACAGTCCCAGACATCTTCTTGAACTGTGGGTAATTCTCAACAAAGGCCTGCCATGAGAAAAACAAGTGGGGGTTCTGTTATTTCTTGAGGACAGGCATGTATGAAGAAGAGAAAAAAAAGGAAGGGATTATTCTTCTGCCCAGACTAAGGCATCTAAAACTTTCAATCACACAGCATTTTGTTATGCTTAAGAAGAGAAGGACTGGTATATGTCAGTAGAGTGAGTAATTAAATAGTTCAAATATGACTGAAGGAAGGAAAGAAGTTCATGGCTTACTATGAAGTTTTCACTATATTGCTTCCTAAAGAGAAACAGAAAATGATTTTGAACCAAACAAAAGGAATTAAGGCAGAAATCAGACCCAGAATATTCCAGAAATGTTGCTTACATGAATAGTTCCAAAGTCTTGCATGTTAGTCATCCATGTACATGTTCAATTTACCTTCATGTCTGCTATTGATTCTAGTTTTTGCTGTTCTTTTGGTTTCTTCTTCTGAAAGTCTTCCATGAGATTCTTTATGTTGCTACCAATCTCAGCAAAGTTCAGGTGCATATTCTGTGAAAAAGGAAGTTGGAAACACAGTTCTATCCACTAGGCCGACTTTCAGACAACTCATAAGAAGTGAAAAAGAACAATGAATACAGTTAGAATTGAAGGGCAAGAAAATTTCATTGTAATTACCAAATCTGGATATTGTCCAGGACACTGGTGATGAATACCACTACTAATCTCACAAAGGGCTATGGACAGGAGGGCAGTAAATAAACTGGTTCTAATTTTTAAAGTACAAAACTAAGTACATGATCACTAAGGAAAAAGTATTGTTGAAGGGTTAGAAAAAAGTCTTCTGTCTTCCCTTGAGATGTAGTTTATCTACAGGATGTCTCTCTCATCCTTCCACACGAAATCCCACACCTGCTCTCATTCTAACAAATCAGGATTAACCTCACATAGAAACATTTAAAAAGAACTTTAAACCACTTACATTAGCATAGAACTCATCATTTTCAGCAGATAGGACCACCTCTCTCAAATCTTTACTGATTCCTGGCACTCTGGAAAGATCAATCCGATTGTTGTTTATACCCAGTAGTTCATGGACCATGGCCTGGTATGTCCACTAGATAAAGAATAATGACAAAAAACTTAGTAACTGATAATATGTGGAAATATTAATTGGCAGGAAAACAAAAACTGATAATATTCTTAGTAAACTAGTCTTTTTGACATGGAGGTTCTCTATTTAGCTCAAATTTTATTAATATTCTGTGCTATACTAAGCATTAAGATTCTCATTTTAATTGGTTAAACATCCAAAAGTCAAAATACTTTTAGATTTCACACTTTTGGAAGAAGGGCAGCCAGATTAATATTCCTGATAGAAAGAAAACAAATTACATCTATCATTAGCTCCAATTTTTGCCTGTGAATTAAGAGTATATTTTTGGCTTCACAGATAGGGCTATATTGGTACTGCAGTTATAAGCTGTACCATTTCCTGTATGCGTCTGTGGTTTTTCTGCAGCATGAGAAGTGTGTTCTTGCAGATCTGAGTAGTGCTATATTTATCCTGGTAACACTAATATTATCAGAAAAAACCTTGTAGGTTGATCAAAACATGCATATTCAGAAAGTTGCTTGTGAATCCATTTTATTTTATATTTTTACCTAATATGCATTGTGAAGAAGGATGGGCTTCCAGTTTTACAAAATGTGAACTTATTTGGTAAAACTGAAAAGGAGAAACCCCAAAATTTGCCTTCTCACCTTTTACAGAGAATAGGTTAGTTTTAGTCATAGGCCCGTTAGAGAAAACAGTATTTTCCAGCAAATTACCCCCTAAATCTAGAGTCTAAAACTAAATATTTATATAAGTGTATACATATATAAATAATCTAGATTTGATATAATAACATAATAGGTTATAAAAGTAGGCACTTTATTTCCTAAAATATTTGCCAAATGAATCCTTGAAAAAACAAGTTTCATTAGAGCATTTAAAGAAAGTACAACAAAATGTTTTATGCTTCATACACAGCATCCTGTGCATGCTTTTGCCATTAGCACATACTTCATAATTAAAATGATCTGTTTACTTTCTCTTCATTGGATCATGAACTCTTTGAGAACAGAGACTGTATCTTTTAAACTTTTATCTCCAGTACTTAATACAGTACCTGGTACCTAACAGGTCCTCAGTGAAATCTGTTGAATGAATGATTGCTTTTCTTTGGGAAACAGAATTATAGGCAATTATTTTTCTTTCTACTTTTTTACACTGTCAAAATTTCTTTAATTATTACTAAAAGTATATAAAATATATAATATATAAAATGTGTAAAGTTATATTACTTTGAATTTTAAGAATATAAGGCAAAAAAAAAAAAAAAGAATATAAGGCTATCGTATCATAGAGGAGTTGTACTCCACAGCCACAGATTGCCCCTAGCATTAACATTACTATAAGCTTAGATGGAACTGAAATATAGACTGTGCCTTTTCCTACAAATTTAAAGTCACTATTAATAAAGCATCTACAAACTGTACGGCACTGCACTTGAATTCACAGAACAAGCATTAGTAAGACATATTCTGCCTTGAAGGAATGTATAACCTAGGAGAATGTGAAAACAAAGATACAACATAGAAAGTGCAGTTTGAGACACGAGAGAAAAAGTTCTACAGTAATTCGAAGGAAAAACAAAAAATCATATCAGACCAAAGAGTAAAAGCTTCAAGGAGATGTTTCAAGTGGTTTCAAACAGTAAGAATTTTAGGAGGTGAAGATGGGAAGAAAATGTATTCCAAACATTCCAGAGTTCAGATCGAGGTCACAACACGAATACAATGATGGCAGAGAATAATGAGGCATATCTACACAGTAGTGAGCTGCAGGTTTTCTATAAGGTTGAGCCCACATTATGAAGGATCATGGTGGTCAAGTTCAGGAGTCTGTATTTAATCCAGCAGGCAAATGGGAAACAGGTAAGATTTTTAAGTCAGGAGTAATAGGATAAGAGCTGTGAGCTTTAGTAAAAGTAATTTAATAACATTGTATCTGTGAGATACATTATAGTGGAAAGTAATTAAAACTGGGAAATCAAATAGATGACTATTTCAGAATTCCTATAACACAGGGGCCCCCAACCCCTGGGCCGCAGACTGGTAGTGGCCCTTGGCCTGTTAGGAACCAGACTGCACAGCGGGAGGTGAGCTGTGGGTGAGCGAGTGTAGCCAAGCTTCATCTGCCACTCCCCATAGACTGCATTACCTGAACACTATCATACAAGGCCAGAACACCACCCCTCTGGCTGCCCTCCCTCCGAGCCCTGTCCGTGCAGAAACTGTCTTCCGTGAAACCTGTCCCTGGTGGCAAAAGGGCTGGGGACTACTGCTGTAAAAGATTAGTTACACCAAGATAAGGCAATATAAATGGGAAAGAACAGATAGACACTGGAAAAGCAGAATCTACGGAACCTAGTGTGCATGCGTGGTCAGTTGTTTCAGTCATGTATGACTCTTTGTGACCCTGGCTCCTTTGTCCATGGGAGTCTCCAGGCAAGAATACTGGAGTGGGTTGCCATGCCCTCCTCCAGGGATCTTTCCAACCCAGGAATTGAACCCGTGTCTCCTGCACTGCAGGCAGATTTTTCACAGCTAAGCCATCATGGAAACCAGAGAATTTAGAAGTTGCCTTAATTAGGAATGGGGGCAGAAAGAGACAGGAAGGAAGAGGCAGAAGCAAGAGTTGAAGATGACTGTGGCTAGAACACTGATACCAGAATACTAGGAAATACAAGGCGAAAACAAGAATAGCTGAAAATAAGGAGGCAAATAAACGGGACCATGTTCATTTCCACATCTGCATTTTGATGAATACCACTTGAAATCATCCTTCCATTGTGCTAACAAAGGGCTCTGCACCTGGTTTAGCAATGGGGTGATGGCATCATCGCAGCGATCTAAAATAAGTAGCAGTGGAGGAACCTCAGTCCGCCGGAATTCAAACAGTTCATATTCTTTAGTTATCACTTGCTGTGGGTAAGACAGAAAGACATTTGGTCAACCAATTGGGAGCAGATAGAGATGACATAAATAGAAAATTCATACATAAAAACCATATTTACAATAGTTTTTTTGCACTTTCACAAGCCTCCCATAAAAGGATTCAAAAGCTTGACAAAATTTTAGTAGCATTCTGTTTAAGGAGTTAGGATTTGAAACTCTTATTTTGCAAGTAGTTTAACTGGATCAAAAGAAGTTAAGTAGCTTGCAAATGTTTCCTGAGTTAGACCTAAGAATCTTAGCTCTAATTTGTTGCCTTGGGTCTTAAAATATAATTCCTACCTCTTTGCCAATAAACCTAAGATATCATCTCCTTGGTTTTAGAGAAAATATTCCTTTAGTTTCTGAAATATGATAAGGAAATGAATGGTCTTGATGTTTTGGAACTGAGGATACAGAATGCCGTACCTTAACACATTCTGCAAGTCTCTTTGCTGCTTCTGATGAAAGCTGATAACGAATCATTGGACATTTCTTCAGAGATAAAAGGAGAGCTGTCAGTCCTTGAGTTGTTCTGGATAGTTGGACTGGATCCCAATTTCGACCCTTTTTGTTAAAAACATACATTCATAGGACATATTTGAATTTTTTCTTACAAGTCCAATTACTTACTGAATTAACTTCCATCTGATAAACAAACAAACAAACAAACACCTCCTTCTTTCCATACCTGACAGCAACCCAAAATATTGAGGGAAAACAAATGTGGATTCACAGCAATGTAATCACCATAAAATTCCTGCAAACAAAGCACCAAGATCAGTCAGTTATTCCACAAACTCCTAACTGTTTCATGCAATAATATTTTTCATATGTGATATAATACTATGTGATACAATCAAATTGGAGGAAATGCAGGTATAAAAAAGAAAAATTGATCAATTAACAACTGAGTAACAATAGTCGATGTGAGGGAATTAATAAGACAATTATAGAATAGAAGCAAAAATAAATCTTAAAAAAAAAACCCAATCAAAAACAAAAGCTGTATAAGTATACATATCATATTTAAGGAGACTTTTCAATTAGTAAAAATAAAACACTGCTAAAGATATACAATGTTACACTCAGACAAGTAAGAACATTGCTATCCAGTGTATTCTCATGAGGGAGAATGTGATTTAAAATAGGTCATTCTTTTTTATTAATTTATCACCTAACACATCCTTCTAAAAATCCAAAACTTGCTTATTTGCTCCCCTGAGGATGATATTCTTCACTGAGGTGATAAATGTGTTTAAAACATTTGTGATAAATGTATTCAAGAACACTAAAGGGCTTAAGAAGGAAAAGGTAACATGAAATGTTCTAACGTGAGGTATTCCATATAGCATGTAGAATATTGAAGTTTCTAACTTTTAACCTAATGACCACTCTGCTTATTTCCAAAGCAAGATAATCACAAACAGAACTTTCACAAACCTCATTCATCCTTTACTTCTTATTCTTTCCCAATCAGACATAAACTATAACTGCGAGGAGGAACATTCTCACAGCATAGCTCATGAGACTACCTTTATAAAACATAACTGGCTCTGACTCCAACCCTGTGAAACCCTCCCTACCAATCCAGTACCATTCCAATCTGCTTATTCCCACGGACTTCTTTAATTCTATTCCCATTCAATTTGATACCTCTTCCAAACTTTCTATATATATATATATGAGTAGAGTGTGATGCAATGTACATTTATTGTGTCTGATCAATAGCCTCCTTTCTTAAGAGATAGCACTTTCCTTATCTATAGACTCAAATCTTTAGAAAGGACCAATAAAAGAGGTATGTTAGAGGACCAATATATTTACCTGAACCTCAGCCACAACTTCCTGTTCATCAGCTTCAGCTAATGACTTCACATCACTCTTGCTTATCACATTACTGAAATCTGAAACAGACATGTAAGTTGTGGTTTATTCAGAGGAGATAATTTTTGTTACAATTAGACATAAGGGGGCCTGACAGTTAAAGTCTAATGAACTAAGTGAAGTCTAGCATATGTGGTACTATACTTTACATTGTGGTATAAGTCAAACACCTTCACATTGGAATGAATAGCACAAATGTTTAAATCTGTAAATTCATAATATTAAAAAAAAAAAGGAACCATCATTATAGGCATTGGAGGATGCCAAGGAACCAAATCATTATGTTGAAAAGAGCAAATACGTAGAAAGAAATAAGTATTTGTCCTTTTATATCCCAACTGTACCACCAGATGGACATCTAGTGTCATCACTTCATGGGAAATAGATGGGGAAACAGTGGCTGACTTTATTTTTTTTCTTCCCAATTATTTTTATTAGTTGGAGGCTAATTACTTTACAATATTGTAGTGGTTTTTGCCATACATTGACATGAATCAGCCATGGATTTACATGTGTTCCCCATCCTGAACCCCCCTCCGACCTCCCTCTCCATCCCATCCCTCTGGGTCATCCCAGTGCACCAGCCCCGAGCACTTGTCTCATGCGTCCAACCTGGACTGGTGATCTATTTCACACTTGATAATATACATGCTTCGATGCTGTTCTCTCAGATCATCCCACCCTCGCCTTCTCCCATAGAGTCCAGAAGTCTGTTCTATACATTGTGTCTTTTTTTCTGTCTTGCATATAGGGTTACCGTTACCATCTTTCTAAATTCCATATATATGCATTAGTATACTGTATTGGTGTTTTTCTTTCTGGCTTACTTCACTCTGTATAATGGGCTCCAGTTTTATCCATCTCATTAGAACTGATTCAAATGAATTCTTTTTAATGGCTGAGTAATATTCCACGGTGTATATGTACCACAGCTTTTTTATCCATTCGTCTGCTGATGGGCATCTAGGTTGCTTCCATGTCCTGGCTATTATAAACAGTGCTGCGATGAACATTGGGGTGCATGTGTCTCTTTCAGATCTGGTTTCTTCGGCGTGTATGCCCAGGAGTGGGATTGCTGGGTCATATGGCAGTTCTATTTCCAGTTTTTTAAGGAATTTCCACACTGTCCTGCATAGTGGCTGTACTAGTTTGCATTCCCACCAACAGTGTAAGAGGGTTCCCTTTTCTCCACACCCTCTCCAGCATTTATTGCTTGTAGACTTTTGGATAGCAGCCATCCTGACTGGCGTGTAATGGTACCTCACTGAGGTTTTGATTTGCATTTCTCTGATAATGAGTGATGTTGAGCATCTTTTCATGTGTTTGTTAGCCATCTGTATGTCTTCTTTGCAGAAATGTCTGTTTAGATCTTTGGCCCATTTTTTGATTGGGTCATTTATTTTTCTGGAATTGAGCTGCAGGAGTTGCTTGTATATTTTTTGAGATTAATCCTTTTGTTTGTTTCTTCATTTGCTATTATTTTCTCCCATTCTGAAGGTTGTCTTTTCACCTTGCTTATAGTTTCCTTTGTTGTGCAAAATCTTTTAGGTCCCATTTGTTTACTTTTGCTTTTACTTCCAATATTCTGGGAGGTGGGTCATAGAGGATCCTGCTGTGATTTATGTCGGAGAGTGTTTTGCCTATGTTCTCCTCTAGGAGTTTTATAGTTTCTGGTGTAGTGGCTCACTTTATTTTTCTGGGCTCCAAAATCACTGCAGATGGTGATTGCAGCCATGAAATTAAAAGACGCTTACTCCTTGGAAGGAAAGTTATGATCAACCCAGACAGCATATTAAAAAGCAGAGACATTACTTTGCCAACAAAGGTCCGTCTAGTCAAGGCTATGGTTTTTCCAGTAGTCACATACGGATGTGAGAGTTGGACTATAAAGAAAGCTGAGCACCGAAGAATTGATGCTTTTGAACTGTGGTGCTGGAGAAGATTCGAGAGTCCCTTGAACTGCAAGGAGATCCAACCAGTCCATCCTAAAGATCAGTCCTGGGTGTTATTGGAAGGACTGATGTTGAAGCTGAAGCTCCAATACTTTGGCCACTTGATGAGAAGAGCTGACTCATTTGAAAAGACCCTGATGCTGGGAAAGACTGAGGGCAGGAGGAGAAGGGGACGACAGAAGATGAGATGGATGGCATCACCGACTCGACAGACATGAGTTTGGGTGGACTGCAGGAGTTGGTGATGGACAGGGAGGCCTGGCGTGCTGCAGTTCATGGGGTCACAAAGAGTCGGACACAACTGAGTGACTGAACTGAACTGAACTGTACCATCAGATAACCAAATAGTATTAATAGACGAGGGGAAACTCTTATAGCAATTTTCCAGCTAAAAAGCAAAGCAGGAATGATAACGATAGAATTAAAACACCATCTTTTTTTCCAACTCCTAATGAATCAATGGATGGAACTCAATATTGAGCATTAACCTTTGCTAGTACCACAGTAAGATAATCAACGGAAGCACACAACACTGCTGATGAAATATTCTTGTCAAAAAGAAATCAAATCTGAATTGAATTAAACCTGTGTATCCAAGTACCAATTTATAGGAACTGAAGGACAGAGGAACATTTTAAATTGCAAAGAACATGTTAAACTATCCCATGTGGATGTAATCAGCAAGATCCAGGCTGAAGGAGACTAACAGAAGGACGTGGCTTTGTGGTTTCTTCAATAAATAGACTGTGTGGGGGTGAAGTTAGAGAGAGGAACTATAGAAGATTAAAGAAATTTCAACAATGTATCTTTCAGTAGCAATGTGTGGACCTTACTATGATCCTAATTCAAACAAACTGAGCAGGAAAAAAAAAAGGCATGAAAGAATTTGAAATTTGAGCACTGTATGAAATTACTTTTCATTGTTTGGATGTACTAGTGGTATATTTTAAAAATGAGTCCTTATCATTTAAAGATGCACATGGAAATATTTATGGATGAAATCATATGATCTGTTAGATTTTCTTCAATATAATGTTGATGAGGGAGTAGATAACAGTACAGCTAAAACAAGATTGGTCATGGTACAGTAAGTGTAGAAACTGGGTGATGGGTACACTGGGATTTATTAGGCTCTTCTGTCTACTTTTGTACATATTTGAAAACTTCCACAATAAAGTTTTTTTTAAAGTAAAGGATGGCATACTAAGATATTTAGTATGCCACACAAGATATTTAGTAGACATAAGAATATACAAAAATAAAACTATTAAAAAATGACATGAGCAGAAGGCCAGTTTAGTGCTGATATAAATTGTGCTGAAAGTCTATAAAGAATAAAATCATATATATAAACTCATTTTAGTTTATTTCAATTAAATAAAACTGTGAAATTGCTCCACCCAAGACATTTCAACGGTCTATTTTTCCTAGGCTTAGTGCTAACTACTTTAACATATATAATTTTTTTTTCAACTTCATAGATTCACGGCCTAAATTAATCTCTAGAACCAGAAGAGTAAGTACTAGATTTATTATTCATCATTAATCTTGGCTACTACATCAGATAACTCTTCAGAGGAAAAAGAAGTCTTTTATCTCATGATCTATTCACTTTTTAGCTAAGAGACTTAGCAAAACAGTGACTCTATTAAATGTGCACATAGATTGGGCAGCATGNTTTTCACTCTCCTCTTTCGCTTTCAATGCAAATTAAAGCCACAATGAGGTACCACTATTTATCTCTCAAAATGGCTAAAAATAAAAAATATTGCAACACCAAATGATGGTGTGGATGTGGGGAAACTGAATTACTCATATATTGCTATTGGGAATGTAAAATGGTACAGCCACTCTGGGAAGAAGTTTGGCATTTTCTTTAAAAATTAAACATACAACTATCATATGCTCCAGTGACCATACTCCCAGGCATTTATCCTAGAGAAATGAAAAGTTATGTTCACACAAAAACCTGTACACAAATGTTTATAGCAACTTTATTTATAATAGCCCCAAAGGAGAAACAACCCAAATGTCCAGTGAAAGTTAAACTGTGGTATATCAATTCCATGGGACATAACTCAGCTATAAAAAGGAATAAACTATGGATATTCCCAGAAACCCATGTGATTCTTCAGTAAATTATACTGACTGGAAAAAGCTAACACCAGAAGTTATGTACTCTACAACTTCACTTTTATAACACTGGAAAGGAAAAAAGTTATAGAAATGAAGAACATCCTAGTGTTTTTTGGGCTAAGGAAGAGATGGAGACAGGTAGGCAGTATTGTGGCTATAAAAGAGGAATGTGAGGGATCCTTGTGTTGATGGAATGTTAATATCTTTAACTAGTCAATGTCAACATCCTGATTGTGGTATTGTGCCATATTTTTACCATGGGGAAACTAGGCAAGGAGTTCACAGGGATTTCTGCATTATTTTTTACAACTACATGTGAATTTACAGTTAACTCAAAATTTTAAAGTTTAAAAAATCGCTGGGAAGCTGCTGTATAGCACAGGGAGCTCAGCCCAGTACTCTGTGATGACCTAGAGGGCTGAAAGGGAGGTTCAAGAGGGGGAGGAGTCACTGTTCCCCAGGGCTGATTCACGCTGTGGTACAGCAGAAACTAGCACAACATTGCAAAGCGATTACACTCCAATTAAAAAAAATTAAAAAAAAAATCAAAACAGCCTAACGTAAATATCTTGAACGTACATTCAGAATTTCTTTAAAAAATTATGTTTAAACCAATACAATATTGTAAAGTAAAATTAATTAATTAATTAAAAATGATGTTTAAAATTTTCTATTTTTAAGTTCTATATACACAGAATTAAGTACAATGAAATATAGTTTTGCTTAGTATTAATTTTAATTTAGGTAATAGTGAGACAAAATAAAAAAGATGCATCAAAAAAATGAAGAGGGGTGGAAAAGCTAAAGTAGGCATTGCTTACATGAAATACACACTGATATAATACAGAGAAAATGCAAATTTTACCTGAATTTTTATAAAACATGAAACATCAAAAACATATTACATTTGCAGTAGACTTTTGAAACTATATTGTAGATCTCTAGAAACAAGAATCTGCTTGACTCTGTTTCCCAGTTTTCTTAAATGAAAAGTCTTGAGAACTGCTGGATGGAAAGAAGGAAGATTTAGAGAAATACCTGGATTTTACTTTTTACTAGCCCTAGGGCCTTAAATATTTTACCTAATTTCTCTGTGCATC